AAAATTAGTAATAGAATTTCAAATTAAAAGAATCAGAAAATGATAAGGAATATTAAAGACTTTAGATACATTTTTTTATTCATTCTACTGAAATTATGAATAATCTTATCATATTAGTATATTATTGAAATTAGAATTACAATTTTAAGTATCCCGTTGATTACAATTAAAATATCATAAAATCATTTATAGAATGGAGAGAAACCTTAGGTAGAATTGGTGCACGCTTTGTATCAAATGGAGATCCTCAATGCTAAATGGTAAGAAGAATTTTATTTGTTATGAATTGCGATTTAGAGCGAGAAGGTACGGTTTGAAGATAATATAAGTACGATGAAATTTAAAGAAGGACTTTTGATAAAATTGAATGAAAATCTTTAAACTAAAATTTATCCAGATTATCTAGCATATAGGTTAACAAAAGGTAGGCAAGACAAAAGATTTGAGGTCTAAATAGGAAAATGTAATTTTGGGGATTAACGGAATAGACCTTGCTTATATGCTAAAGAAATTTGTTGGTGAGAATTGAATGGGATTAAGCTAAATGATTTCAAAATCAAGTACTTAGTCATTAGTGAAACCATGGCCCTTTAATTTGGTCCTTTTTGAAATTTCAATGCTTAAAGTATAGTGTTTTTTGTTTAACTATTCTGTGAAGGAAGCAGTTGGAGAATCATTTCTATTGAACATGTATGAACTCTGTTGTTAAACGCACAGTCTCGATTAGATTATAAAATTAATAGTTCTCATTAGGGAAACTTATTTGTAATTATTTTGATGAAATATGAAAGAGATTGGACCAATAAATTTGCAAATATTTTAGAGAGTAAGATATTTAGAAATAAATTTAAAGGCTTCTTATTAGAAGTGAAGTTTTCTGATTTTTAGAATATGCTTATGGCAAAACATTAATATAATATGACTTAGTAGTAGTGAGAATGGTTAGTGATTTGTGAAATTAGGCTGGCAGCCAATTTAATGAAAATAGTTTATTATTGCAGCAAAGTAAAAGGGAATTAAAATAAATGAATAGTTATAAGTTTAATTATAGACGAAAAATTGGGATATTTTATAAATATAAAAATCTTGAAGGCAAAAGATTTAGTGTCAAGGTAAGGATATTAGATGTAACAGAAATTTTTGATTAGATATATATAGAGAGAGGATGAAAAACTTAATAAAATATAGTTTTTTTTTTCTAATCACAATAATTCAAATTTAAAAATTAGAGCTTAGAAAAAAAATTTTGAGAATTTACAGAAATTAAATAGTCTTATGGAGAATCAGATAAATCTCTATGAAACTCCTTATATCAGATTAATACTTTACGAAAAAAAGTTTACTTAAGCTTTATATTTGTTTTTAGAATTAATGTAACCTCTCTAGATTTAAAATTTGATATTATTTTATCCTTATAATTTTCGCCTATTTTTAGTTTTATTTTCATCTTATTTTATGAGGATAAATTTAATTAAGCTTCATACATTTATAATTATTTCTATCAAATGCTTTGTAATTATACTTATTAAATATTCCTAACAAATAAGAAATTGATCCAATCCTTGACAAATCCTATCGATTGTTGCAGGCTTTGACATAATAGGAATTTTGTTAGTTAAGTGTAAAACCTCAGCTTCAAATTTTGAAGATAACAATTCAACCGGGGACTGAGAAAGAGATGCGATAATTTAATTCTTGGAGTATACAATGATTTTGAAAAGACTTTCAAACTACACAAATGTTTGAAGCGGGATTACTTTTGACAGGTAAGAATTTACTTAACTTCTGAGCTCTACAATAGAATATCTGAGTCTTTTTTGATATTCAACCTCTTAGGTCTCTTACCGGGCTGTATATGGTTATCATTTCATAAAATTCTCAGGATTCGAATAAACTGTTAGAAAAAAATCTTAATTAGTTTTTCAAAATTTATTTGCTTGTACTTAATGTTTCAAATAACTCATCAATATTTGTTTTCATGGAGAACGAATGTGAATTATTTAAGGATTTCATCCTGCAAAAAATTTTCCATCCATATTGCAATTTAAATGTGAATAAATAGAACTTCATTGAATTATTAACGATTTCATCTATGTATTAATGTTCTAGTTTGATTAAACAATAAATCTAAATATAATGGAAATTATTCACCAATTATCTAACAGTAAAATTACAAAACTGATGTAAAATGATACATCGATATATTGACATTAAGCTCTATTAGATGTTATTAAATAGACATCCATATACAATCTATTAGGGGGATTAAATTAATTAAATAGAATAATAACTCTTTATAAGTTTTTCAAATATTTTTTAATAATATTTATTATTTTGTCAATCGTATTAGAAATAATTTTGGTAACTCATCTAGTTATTCTAAAGATCTAATAACAAGATTTCATTGCTGATTCAAATTCATATATTTTTTTTAAAGTATTCTCTAAATAAAGATTGAAATGTAATTATACCTTTAAATTAATAATATTCAGAATTTTTAGGATTTTTTTAAATGGCTAATTCATAATATTTTAAAGTCTCTTTAAGTCTATTCATTTAACTTACAGTAACCTCTAAGTAAAAATAAAGTTAAAAATACCTTCAAACTGTTAATAATTTAAACTTTTAGGGTGTTTCATAATGATAAAATTACAATATTCTTTTGATTCATCAAACCTATCTAAAAAATCCTAAAGTAGCCGCTATTAAAATTATAAGTCAATTATACCTTTGAAACAATAATATTCTGAATTTTCAGGGTTTTTCTCAATTGCCAAATCATAATATTTCAAGGCTTCTTAAAATCTACTCATATCACCTAAGGTAATCGCTTTTTAAATAATAAAAGTTAATTATACCTTTATCAAAATAATAAAAAGATTTTTCGGTATTTCTTGTTATAGC